GAGGTGAGGTTAGACCACAGCAGGAGACTCTGTTGAAGGTGCTTGTCACTTTGATTCCCATGAAAATTAACTTTTTAAAAATTAAGAAGAATGAAGTTCCATGCTAACTAATCAAAGGCAATTTAGAATGGTTATATTAAGCAATATCAGATAATATACACTTCAGGGGCCGGCAGGTGGCAAGATGGTTAAGGGTGCTGTACTCCCACATGACCGACTGCAGTTCAAATCTGGAACTGGTGGCTCGCTTTCTCACTTTCCCTCTCTCTCCCCACTCTGTCCCTCTCTGGGAAGGAAGGAAAGAAGACAGGAAAGGAGGAAGGAAGTTAAATAAAGAAATTCTTTAAAAAAAAAAGCCCATGTACTTCAGAACAATGAACAGAACTAAGAAAAAAAGGGAGAGTCAGCCCCATGGCCTAGTGATTACAGGAGATGGATCCCACACAGCTGACCATGATTCGATTCCCAGCCCTGGTAGCTTAAAAAACATGCCAGGTACAGTTGCATACTCAAAGTCCCAACAGATAGATATATGGAAGAAAAGGGACTGCAGCATGATCTTGCCCCATGGGGGCTGCTTTCTCCCTCTTACTCTTTCTGTCTCTGGCAAGCACACACGCCCTCTGGCAATGAAAGAAGAAAAAAGGGGAGGGGGGCCAGCAGGTGGCATGGTAGTTAAGGTGTTGGACTCCCACATGGCTTACAACAATTCAAATCCTGGACCTGGTGGCTTGAAAAATCATGTTGGGCATACATACATGCATGCCCAAAATCCCAAGAGGAGAAAAGAGAAGAGATTATGGTGTAGCCATCTCCCCGGAAGTGATTTTTTTTCTCTCTCTCTGGAGAGTGTACACACCCTAAGATAAAAACCTTTAAAAAAATAATAAAAAAAATAAAGAGGGATATTTCATAATGAAAAGGAGTCACTAATCAAGAAGACCTATGTCCACCTAATATCAGTATCAGAGTTCTAAAATATCTTAAGCAAAAACTACTAAGACAATAGAAGGTTATACAAATCAGGTGAGCGAGGTGGTGGTGAAGGCGGCTGGATCTTACATGACCAACAGCATGGTTCAAGCCACAGACCACCCAGCAACTTGAAAAACGTACTAGGTATGTGTGCATGAATGCCCAAAATTCCAAGGGGAGAATGGAGAAGGGACTACAGTGTGGTCAACCTCCTGGGGGGGGGGGTGCTTTCTCACTTTGTCTGTCTGTCTCTGTCTCCCTCCAGTGAGCACAGCACCTTACAGCAAATTTTTTAGAAGTTATACAAATCTATAATTATAGTTATTTAGTTTTCTTTTTTAATTACTTATTTGATTTGATTTTATCATTATTATTTTTTTTATTTGACCAGAGAGAAACAGAGAGACAAAGGGAGAGAGAGGAGTGAGAGAGAAAGAGAAAGTGAGGAAGAAAACTGCCAGGTCTGGGACTTGAACCGCAGTTGGCCAGATGGGAGACCCTAACCACCATGCCACCTGCTGGCCCCTTAAGTACTGCTTTCAGTGATTGTTAGAAGCAAAAATTAAGCAGCTAACAATGTTCAACTATTACAGACTTGACTGAATCCGTATCTGCACAGCTAGCGAATGAAGGACACACGTGCCGCTCGAATGCACACGTAACCACCGCACACTGTGGGGCATAAAGTAAGGCTCGGTCACCAAAAAGGGAGAAAGTCAACAAAGGGTATTCTCAGAGCACAACGGAATTAGGACCAAAATTCAGCAGCAACAGAAGCCTGGAAAACAAACCCCAAATATTTGGAAATTAAACCCCACTTCCAAATAACCCATGGAGTAAAGAAGTTGCAAGGGAAAACAGAAAGAAAAATACATGTCAACGCATACGGGATTACAGGAAAAAAAAAAAAAAAAACCAAAGTTCTCCTTCCAGCACGACAGCCTACTGGCTAGTGGTTAGTGCTGGCAGTCTGCAGGGGGCCTCAGTTCTGGTCACACTGACCTCTTTGTAAGCTGTGGTTGGCTTCCCCTAGAGTTAGTGATCTAAAACAGCCATCCAATTTTTCTTCACATGACCTCACAAAAAATAAAACCAAGGCTAGATCTTGAAGTTAGGCAAGCAGATTCTCTGGCTACCACAACCAGCCCATAGGTCCAAGTTCGCACTTTTGCAAAGTCACACGTTACTATGTGCTGAGGACCTTCACAGTTGTTCATGAATCATCCCAACCTCAAACACTAAACATGAAATGTAACTAACTCTACATTCTGTGGTCAGGGTTTGAATTAGCAAGGACTGAGGATATCTTCTAAGGTAAACAAGCCAGCAATTCCACTAAGCACACACCCAATAGAAATGCTTACACACGTTCCAGAAGGCAGGGCCCAGAATGTTGATCACAGCACAATTTCTAATACCGAAAATTTAGAAACTATCCAAATGCCCACCAGCAGTAGAATGGACACACTGGTATTCACACACAACTTTCACACACAACAGAACAGTGTAACAATGAAAATGAACAATCCACAACCATACCCAGCAATGAGAGTAAATCTCACAGAGGGTTGAGCAAAAGAAACCTAAAGTGGCCTAGCCAGTTGCTGCTCAGCAGGCTGAAGCCTCATGGCCAAGTTTGATTCCCAGCCCATCCTAAAAGTCAGGTGCAGTGGCATATGCCTGTAGACCCAACTGCTCAGAAGGCGTAGGCAGAGAGAACATGGGTTTGTTTCTCTGAAAGAGCTGGGCATGGTACTTGCAAGCCTGAGAGGTAGGAGATTCCCAACATGGTGGAACTCTGTCCAAACACACACACGCGTGCACACACACTCACACGATGTAAACCTGTGTCCAAAATTGAGAGAATGCAGAAGGGATTGCGTTGTGGCCATCCCCTCTGGGGGGTGATTTTTTTTTTCTGTCTCATCACACACATGCGCCCTATAGAAAAATCTCTTTAAAAATAGAAAAGGTAAACTGACATGAGGCTGGCCATCACTCCTGGGTGTGTCGGGAAGTGGGGATGGGAATGACTAAGGAAACATGGGGGTGTCTCAGTAGTTAGCAAACCCCGTGTCTTTTGAGTACTGCTACCTAGGTGTTTTTAACTGATGAAAAGCCAGTTCAAGTGCACTTTCTAACCATATAATATATATACTTCAACCAAAAAGAAAAGGTGCTTGGAACTAGCAAATATAACCAGATTTTTAAAAACAGAAAAAAAGGTAGAACAAGTCCCCAAAATGATCCAAAAACAAACTTTTTTACTGTAAATAGAATAAAAATAATACAACTGAAGGGGTGCTACAGTTTGTGTCACCCCAAAATGTATGCGTTGAGATTTGGATGTAAAGTATGAAGAGGAAACTTACCACCTGGTATGGGAGATGGGGTCTTTGAGAGTGGTTAAGCTATCAGGGCCCACCCTCATCGATCTAGGTGGGTTTATAAGGAGAGGAGAAAGATTGATGCAAACAAACTTCTGCTCTGCCCCTCGTCAAGTGATCAGGACTCAGCAAGACCCTAACCAGGGGTCAGCAGGTGGCATGGTGGGTAAGGGCGCTGGACTCCTACATGACTGCCTGTGGTTCAAGTCCCAGACCTGGCAGCTTGCTTTCTCACTTCCCCTTGCTCTCACTCTTTCTGTCCCTCTCTGGTCAAATTAAAAAATAAAGTTAAATAAAGTAATTTTTTTTTTAAAGACCCTAGCCAGAAGTGGCTCTGAATTTTGTACCTCCAAACCATAAGCTAAATAAACCTCTATTTTTATAAATTATCCGGTTTCAATTATTTGTAATAAGACATCTAGAAGGGTTGTGTAGAAAAGTCAAAATCTCCTACCGCAGCTCAACAGATGAAACTGACAAATGAAGAAACTACTCCGCCAGTCAGGGAAAGATGTGTTAACATCACAACCCAGGATAATAAGCCAGGCAGGAGGAAGAAAGGGAGAGAAGAATTAATCGGCTCGTTTTCTAAATTCACAGATTTAAAAAGGCCCTTAGGCAGGCAGGGCTGGCTATCTTCTCCGTAAAGGGCACAAGGTCAGCACCTTGGGCTTTGCAGCCCACTTGTTCTGGCGCAGTTCCTCTGCTGCTGTGGTGCAAAGCAGACATGGACACATCAGTACACGGGCAGGGTTACATCCCAATAAAGGTTTAGTCACGGACGCAATTTGAACAATATGATTTCACATACTATGAAAAATATTATTTTTATTTTTATTTACTTTTAAGGGTTTTTTTTTCCTTTTAAGTGTTTACTTCTGGGAGAGCCCAAGCACATGTGCACCAACAGGGCTCAGACTCCGCAAGCACTCCAGGCCTGTGTCACGGACAAGGGCATGCCTAACACACGCAGGGAGGTCTCGGCACAGACCAACCTCTCCCAGGCGGTCAGCCTCACAGAGCGTCCTGTTTTACCACTGCCCCACCAACCGGCCCCAGCTTTCCAAGGCTATTCTTAGCTTCCAGGCAGCACACTCAGGCAGAGGCGGTCTGGCCTGTGGGCTGCAGAGTACATCAGACCCATCTTAAGCTGACAGTGAGACCAAAACTGAAGTCCTCCTAAAACCAGGAATTTCAAAGCAGACTACTAGAGAAGCCCCTGTGGTGTAAAAAATGAGGACCAAGACCTGCACTGGGTCCCTCCACTCTCAGAGTCCTGCCACCCACCCACAGTTAGTGGGCCTCCGTGTTCACAACAGCACCACTTCCAGAGCGATGCGGAAGGAAAACAAGGCACTTACGGAAGGGGTGAAGCAGTCCAGTTTGCGACACATAAAAGGATCCTGCTACAGAGTCTTACACACAACCCCCACAGCGCAGTCATCACAGCATGCACGATGGTTTCCGTCTGAGACAATCACAACAGAGCAACAGGACCAACTAGTTGACCTAAAACTACTTAAACCTAACATCAAATCAGGCAAGGCACATGTCAGTCATAACCAGGACACTCACAGGATGGTGTGCTCAAGGTATTCAAGACTAGTTCCACATGTTGCTGCTGAACACTTCCAGAAAGCTGTGAAAAGCTTATCTTTATTGATCGATGATTAGGATTCAGGGACATCCCTGCTGCTTTGCAGCATATGCACAAAATTCAAATCAAAGCAATAAATACACATAACATCATTTATCATCTCCCCGTAAAATCAGGGCTCTTCCCAGGGCCATGGCCTCATACATCCTGAATGAGGACAGTGCTGCCTTGCAATGATGAAAACGTGCCGCTCCTGTGCTCCCCACATGGGGGCCACAAGACACTCTGTGCAGCCGTGCACACGTGAAATGCACCGAGCAAGGGAGGAAACGAGTACTTTGTGATTTACCAGCCCCGTGTGGCGACTGGCAGCATGTGGGGTGCACAGGGCACCACCTGGAAGGCGAGATGACAGCAGCCATGTGAGGGCATGCACCGTGTACCCTGGATGTACCTGGAGGAGGATGTCCCAGCAGCGAAGACATTTTGGGCACAGCAGAAAAGGTGACAGCTGTCCCGTTGCAGGCCAACACTTCCTCCAATATGAAGAGAAAGCACCGAAGGCACTTCACTGCACCATGTCCCATGGTGGCTTTTAAGCAGCCACTGACCTGCACAGCTTCCCTTCAACCAGAAGGGGGCAGACAGCAGGCCAAGGAGCCAGTGCTCAACTATACAGATCCTTCCAGAACCAGGAGACCCTAAAGGTAGCAGGTCAGTTCCTTTATCATCTGAAAGGGAGACGCCAGGGCAGACAGGGCAGGAGGGAGGACTGCATATGCAGTTGGAAGTCATGGGACCCAGTCCCACAGCTGGTCAGCTGCTCCAGGATGCCTCCTCTGGCCTCGTCCTTTTGGCCTGCCCACCGGGCGAGGGGCTCTTCCGCCGCCTCCGTTTCTCCCGTTGCTGCCGTAACCTCTCCTCCTTCTTCTTCAGATAAGAGGTCATGTTGTCAAAGGTGGCCTTGTACAGACTGCCAAAGCTGTCATCCACACCGGCAGAGCCTTTTGTGGGGAACAAGAACAGAAGCCAGGTGAGACAAGGACTCAGACACACAGCCTCAAACAGTGAGAGCCTGCCAGGCCTGGGACTGAGTTGCTGCAAGGCCTTCCTGCCAAAGGGCCTGAGCTTGGGGGTGACCCAAGTTGGCACTTAGGTGCTCCCCTGATCTGAGGAAGTCAGGGCCATGCTGTGACAAGCTGCCCTATGGTGAGGCACACATGGCAGCAAGGAAATGAGGGGCTGGATCCTGCTGACATCCAGTGTGGGCTGATACAGGCCCTGTCCATGTGATCTTGAGATGACTCAGCAGGCAGACACGGACTGCACTGCAGGACCCGACCAAGCTGCACCCAGACCCCTGAGCCACAGAAACAGTGAGGCAGGAACAGGCAACGGACACAGACTGACGTACACGTGGAGGCTCGAGAGGCGGCGAGGGCCTGCAAGCCCCTGGGAGGGCCTTCCTCTGGCCAAGAGACTCCACAGGGCCACCAGTCTCTGTGACCCAGCCGCCACACATGCTCACCCACCACCACAGGTGGCTTCAGAGGCGTGCTCACAGCAGTCGGCCTTCCTCCCCAGCTGTGCCCACATCTGACTGTGAACGGTCGCTTCACCTGCTGAGCATCTCAGAGAAGCAAGAGCAAGGCAGGCTTTGGCCTGTGCCTGCACAAGCAAGGTGGCCCTGAGCAGGACAGGACCATGCTGGTCACGCCTAGGACACAGGCCATGAGAGCTTCCACACGGGGTCCCTTGACACGATCCCTCAGAGACTTCTGAGGGTGCTGCTGAGGGGATCTAAATCACCTCAAGGCCATAGTCCTGACGCCGTCTCAATCCTTCCACCCTAAGGGAAAAGACCAACAGACGCAAACCTACTGGGATCAGAGCCAGCAGGTCTCAAAAGGAAGGTCATGCAGAAGACGTTTGGACCGTGCCATGCGAGCACTCTGAGACTAAGTGTGGGCTCAAGCCTTTTAGAGCTCCAGGGAGCTCTGGCTGCTAGCTGCAGGGAAATGGGCTTTGCATACTTTCTCTTGAATAACTACAAGTTTATTTGAAAGTCAGCTCCAATACTGGCCAAAACTGGCTCAGCAGACACTGTCAGCCCAGTATCTGCTCATGAAAGTAGGACGAACACCCAGAGCTGGGATCTGCTGTCGTCTAGCAGGTATGTATGTGTCATGTGTATGTGGCGGGGGTGTCATCTCAGTACCCTGGGCCCGTGCACACCAGAGACTGCACCACTCACAAGACAGCCCTGTCCTCCCCCTTGCTTATGGCAAGGTGTCTGGTGATGTGCCTCCTTCCCCCAGCAAGGTGCTTCTGTTGGGAGAATAACTGCCCCTCATCTGCTCTGAGCCACAAAGACCCTCCAGGAGCCCCAAGGACTGACCCCCACCTGACTTCCCAGCACAGCACCCTCTGGGCCACACGCAGCTCTAACAACCCTGATTCCAGCACAGTGTGCCTTCTCTGACCTGTGCTATCCTCCAGGGTTGCCCTTCCTCCAGCCCCTGCCCCGCCTCCTGGACAGGACACCCACACATCCACATATCCACACACCCCACACACCCTCTAGCTTCCCTCACAGATTGGAAGCACTTCAGTCTTTCCAATCACGTAGCACTCTGGAATCTGCTCTTTCCTATAGAGGCGTGGGCAGGAGCAGGCAGTCTGCGGTCTGTTCTCACCTTCCAACATGGCCCAGTCCCCACGAAGACGACTGGAGACCTGCTTCAACACGGCATTTTCAGGAACCGACTGGAAACGACACAGAAAGCCTCCATCAGAAAGAGGCTGGCCTAAAATAGCACTGCAAACACGCTTAGCGTGGCTTCCCAGGGCACAAGCGGGGATAAAGGCCTGGTGAACCCAGTGCACCCTCCCACGAACACCGGAAGCAGGGCCTACATCCTGCGCTAAGAGAAACCTGTGTGCAACTTGTCCCTGCAGTGGGACTATTAGGCACCGCTGGGAGCCATGGGGGCTGCTGGTCACAGGTCAGACACAGGGGAGGGATTAGAAGGCCCTCTGGCTGCTGCCCCCTCAGAGCAAGGCCTCTGAGCCCCAGAAGTACTCAAGCTGAAATGAACTCGGGTGCAGGGTCAAAACCCATGGGTGCTGACCCTCCTCTTCCACAGTTACAGGACCTCTCACCTGCCACTGGCCGCCCTCTGGCCTGCAAAGCACAAGGGGGGTTTCCTGGCAGTCCTGCAGGACCCACAGTCCCTGGGACTCCTCGAAAGCCACGTCCCAGACTCGGTGCTGGAAAGATAGCTGCTGCCTGTACACCAACTGCTGTTGGGGGACGTCAAGCTGGAAGATGAAGACCACTGGGATGCTTCCCAGGAAGAGAGAGGGCTGTTATTACAGGGGCTGCAGGCCCAGGCGGGCAGTGTTAGACACAGGCAGCATCTCGGCAATAAGCGTGAAGGCTGAGCAGCCCCCGGCCAGTAGTGACATCAGAGGCACCTGCACCACAGGCCCCTGGTTGGGCCATATCCCATCCCGGAGAAACTGAGAGATGGTACACATTTGTTAAGTCACTAAGTTCTGGGCAACTTGTTACAGAGCAAGAGGTACCCCATATGAGACAAAGGAGGCAGTCGAAGAGCCGGCCGTGCTGCCTGTGGGGCAGCAGGCAGCCCAGGCACCACGGGC